TCATTACGAAACATGACAATGTCGAAACGTCTGTTATGAACTTTTTCATTTGGTTTATGTGTCTAGCAAGAAGAAGCAAGTAAGAAATTCTCTCTCTTCATACTTAACCTAACTAAGCCCTAACTTGTATAGTCCGTCTCAAGAAAGTTCGTTCACTGTCCTGATAGACGCGGCTCTAATGTCTACTGTGCCTTCACAAGAAACACTCGATTATTCACGTCCACAAACGTGGCGTAACTTGCCACAGCAACAGAAGCGCGGGAAAAAAGTTAACTACTACGAATGTCGCTCTTTAAGTAACGCTAGTGCCGTGATGAGAATGCCACCATCGACATATAATGAAGCAGCAATTGCAGCCATTCCAGTAAAATTAAGCTATGACACCGAAGCAGTAGATGCTGTCAGTACAACGTCGAATGTTTGTGTGAATCCAATGTTGGCAGCACGTGATACGAAAAAAGAAGGAGAGGAAGAAGACCAGAAGCTGATTGATGCAGTATGTAAAGCCTCACTTGTGGAATATAATCAGCGTGAGCAAGCGTTTAAACTATACGAGTCAGAAGCGTCGCAACGAGCATTTGAGCATCAGACAACTTCAGCAACACTCCAACTAGCCATTAACGAAGCAGAACAGCGCAAGTACGCAGCAATGCAGACGGTAATTGATAGCAAGATACGCGCTAAAGAGATGAGTGACAAGGCTCGCGATGCTACATCACTCTATCAGCAAAAAAACAGTGAACGTCTAAATAAACAGACCGAGTTGGAAGCGATAAAACTTCGTGATGCACAGAAAGCTGAGCTTTTGACTGTTCAAAAGCGTAAGGAGGAAGCTATGCAGAAACGAACGGAAGCAGAACAGAAGGCTCGTGAAGCTATGGAGAAAGCAGAAGCTATGCGACGTGAAGCATTTCATGCTGCGTCGAAAGTTCGACTATACTCACGAAAACAGATTGAGAACCAACTAAGCGTAGAAGAAACTCAGCGCGAACGTGAAAGGCAACGCAAGTTGGATGAGATCGAAAAAAACAAAGATTTGGCTCATGAACGTAAGGAAGTGGCTGCTCAGAAAGCACTAGATGCTCAACGCCGAGCTGAAGAACTTCATATCAAGGCCGAGCAGGCACGAGTGGGACTTAAAGCTTTTGCACCCACGCACTCAGCGTAACTTGTCCGTCTATGTGGGTTACAGAAGTTATTGATTGGGTATAGTGATGTTCATTTCTGTCATGGTTCATAAGCAACTTTATGAGCGATATGACTGAAATTGATTGCGTTTGTTCTATTGAAACTTGCACTTGAGCTGTATATTATAAAGGATGTTTGGTTATTCACGATCTTGCTTAATTCACTTTCACTTCTTTTCTAGAGCCTTATGTGAGAGTAAGTGCTTCGGAGTGAAAGTTTTCCGGCACGTAATTGATATGATTGCGTAAAACATCCAAGGAAGGCATCATAAAGAGCACAACCTTTGAATAGTGCAAAGATTAGCACATTAACATGTAAAGAGTCAATGAGTCAAGTACAAAAGCCTTTACTTAAAGGTTTTCAAGTAGACAAATTTCATTTTGAAATAGAGATAATTCAATTTATTAATTGTGAACGTTTGTAACAGTTCTCACTTTTTGGTAGATATTCCAATATGAACGATACAATACTACTCGAGATTTGATAATTCTAAAATTGAGAAAACTTAGATCTCGTACCTTTCGAGTCATTTGATTATTAAGTCGCGCTTTCTAGTCGTTATGTCCACCGTCTTGTAATGCTTGATGTAGCGTCAGCGGCAACTTGTCACAAAAATTAGAATCATGAAAATTCGAGCTTTTTTGCACGTTCTTTTGACCTCATTTTCACTGATCACGTTTCAACACTTGGTCATTTATCGACAATTTGATCATTTTTGGCAATTGTCCCCTTTCATTAACAGCGTTTACTCTTGGCGGTGAACCATGTCACCCGCTAATTTAGGAAGAACGTGGTCGCTCCAATGTATCTAGTAACGAAGCCGTTTAGCTGTTATAATTTCTTCCCCACTTGAATGTTGTCTTTCTCCGCGCAATACGACGCAGAGTATTAATTCAGACATAAATATTACTCTACTGTGTAATTGCGAATGATCGGCGGTAGCAACGCATCATTAATAACGGAGATCGTCCATTAGAGGTCCGTAAACTATGTGGTATTCAATATAAGTCTTAACTTCTTCAAGGTTGGTTATTCCTGGGAAAGAAGCGTGCTTTTGAGACTCTCCATTTCGCTTCATATGGAACGTACGATTCCAACCTCTTTGCTTTGTTAATGCGGACTCTCATAGTTGAAGCTTCCTTTGTGCAAGGTGCACGGTAACACATGCACTTAGTAGCACTTGCAATCAATCCAACGACCGCATCGTGAAAAGCTGTATTCTCTGATGGATTACGATTTGTTGAACGATGTGTCCTCGATGGGAAACGACACGTTTGGTATGTTCAAATAGGAGACTGGTGACAAAGACACCTCCAGCACCTCCCGTGAGGCCAACGATGTTGCGCTTGCGAATTTCAAGTTAGGAGGCCGCACGCAAGATCCGGCATTAACGTGCAGTACGTTTGCATACACATTGGCATAATAACATTTGATGAGACATACGTCGAGAAACTTGCGCCACCTCACCAGTCGAGTTTGGGATAATTCATGTTTTTGTCAACCGGTCAAGAGAGGCTTCGTCCACTCCAACAGCCGCATGACGGCGGGATCACTTCCGGAGATGGTAGCAGCTACTATCTATAAAGCGTTTTTCCGAACAGATCCAGCTCACATGAGTGTTTTTGCATCCAGTTTATCGCTCTCAAGAACCGGTGGGTGTTTTTTTTACAGAAGAGTTCCGCAGGAACCGATATGAGTTCCATAGTCAGGAGCTCGATGAGCGAGCTAGAGGCGATGGACCTTAGCCGCGATGATAATAAAGTGAGGGACCTCTTAATTTTCGAGAACTTGCGGATAATTGTTCAACATACTTCTCCCCCTTCGTCCAAGGCTGAGATATAGCCAACCCAGAGTCGACCATTAACTTCCTTCTGAGGAATGTCGAGTGCTAGTAGACGCAGGGCAGTTTGCTGGAGAAACGTTGGTGATAGCGTGCCATGTAAAAATCCAGATCAATGAGGCCCAGCCCCCAGAGACGCAACGCGCTCTATAAAGGGTGGTGCTTGCAGCGAATGTTGATGGCTGTAAATATCAACTTCCTGGGTTTTGTGAAGCCATGGGAAGTCCGGAAACATTGGGAACTATATTACAACTACGTACGTGGTGCGACTACCAAAAGCTGCAGAAGGCAACAAAGATATAATTGACGTATATAAAATCCGCGCGTTATGGGCATGTCAAAGTTTCTTCCAAACCTTCTTGTAAGATTTTGGTACAGTGAGAAGCGATGTCGGTTTCGACCTATTTTCGAGAAGCAATGAGCGATATGTTTTCTAGAATCGAAATTGTGAGAATCCGCGTACCTCTCTCGCGGTGAATCTTAATTAAATCATAAATTACGAGCGCTTCCGGTGAGGGCAAAAAGCTTCAAAGCAATACTGATAGATTTCCAAAAAAATTCGCTTAGTGTTCGGAGTAGACCTCGTAAGGCAGAAGCGGTAGTGGGCCACGGTCCCAAAATGGGAAAGAGGTAAGCAAATATATTTCGCGGTATATAAATAAGCAAGAAACAACAGGGTGTGTGGCGTTGTCTCAAAAGGGTAGCTCTAGTTTGACCTTTAATATCAAGTGAAAGCCAGCGTCGCTTGACAAACCTTATGGAATCCTTGGAAGCACATGCTTGGTCGCCTGGCATAATTCGTTTGTGGAAGCGAATGGGACCCAGTCCGAAGCTCAAAAATTTTCCGGAAGCTGAACCGGCAAGCTGATTAAATAAATCAGATATGGTGAGAGCAAGAGCTTTAGTGGTAAGCATTCACCTCACTATTCACGTTGTGCTTGAATTTTGCAAAGTTGACTTTGCTTATCCCGACGCCTGTTTCACCGAGGTAAAAGACTTGTAAGGCAAGGTGTCGCCGTTTGTGGATCGTGAATTGACACCGATACACTTTGCTTTTTTTTGTCGGCATTAAATACCAAAGATGAGGTTGTCATGGGGGGCGTGCATTAGCCCAACCGCTGCTGCTCTAACTATAGGCGATACTCGTTTGGAGTGGTGTTCTGACAGGTCTTACTTGTTCGTTTGAGTTATTGGACCACAGGTACTGGCGTCTAAGAGCTCGGCCTGAATTTCGTGATTACAAATGTAGATTGCTGCGCCAATAAAGAACGTAAGGGAGAGGACTTGATACGGGTTTTGCTCGGAAGATCAAACAATGTTTGTTGCAGTGGTTGTAGAGGAATTTTTAGCATTGTTGCTGTTTGTGGGACTCATGAAAGTATCGGCTTTGATGAGGAGGGTCGATGCTCTGAGAAGGAGTGGTTGGCGGTACACGTGGCTGCTAGAATCACTAGTACGTAAGGTAATGTTAATGAAGATAGTAAATCAGATTCTTTGAGCTTAGATTGAGACCACTCTTGTGATATAAAACTAAATTAGGCATCTGACTACTTGAGAGACACCTAAGACCTATAAACTGTCCGCTGTGCGTTTATTGACGCGAACTCGTTGGGGCAGCTGTTCAGTAAAAGGTGTCAGCGACCTCGTCGAAGTAGGAACGAGTTTATTTTGTCGTAAATTTATTATGCTCTATTTTTGATAATCTTAGCTAAGGTGTGGTCATAATTTCACACGAAAATCTCTAATAATTTAAAAACAGTTTTTATCGTCATGATTGTAATTCTTGGCATAATCATCTCGTAAAGCTGGAGACTTAGTGTTGGGTTGTTAAAATAAATCTGCAACGCCTATGCATCGCAAAGGTAGTGTTACAATTCTTAATGCTAATATATATGCAACGCTTTTACAATAGTCACTAGTTCTAATTGGGTACATAACCTTTTAATATAAGCATTTATAAAAGTCCCTCTTCACATGAACGACCTTTCACAACAAAGTAGAAGAATTTCCTATTCCACACCTTTCAGTAGTAGCAAGACTCAGGTACTAATCTCAACTGCCAAACGGTAGGATTGGTATATATAGAGCACTTGGGGGCGCAGCTCACTCGAAAAGAAATTTAAACAAAACAGCAGCTGTTACAAACTTAAAAGAAGTTGGTGACGCGATTTTCCTGATTTATCTGGATGTGCAGCTGATAATTGAGTCACTCGACAGCAAATTAATATTTCAATCTCTCCAAGAGAACAGCAAGGGATCAATTTAAGCATCACCGGGATTCCCTAACGTCTGAAACGACTGTCTTTATAACGTTGCTGACGTCTTTTACGGCAGATTTTTTGGCAAAACGTATGGACAGACAGCCTAGTCATGTACCGCAAAAAACTAACAAATCCCCTCAGCCGCTACAAGGACGAGAAAATTTCAAGCCATTAATATTCCCCTTTAGTTTAAGAATTTCGAATGAGAACAATCTCAAGGCAACAAGTAACATACCCGAGCAGATAGGCGGAGTAGGAACTTCAAGCTGGATGGGGTTCTTCCAAACTTTTCATGCAGCTGGTCTGCGCTCTTCCCATGCATAGCTACATTGTATACATTGTATATGAAAATAAAGACTTATGAGCTCATTTTAATATAATACAATCTGAGAATGTAGATACCGAGAGCATTGAATACAAATTATCTCTCTATCTTATCTACTGCTGTATTAGAACTTTGCAGTACCGAGTTATTGACCTGTTTAAGCAACTGCGAGAGGAAATTCCAGTCTGGCTCTGATCGAACTCCTTTAAGTAGCAATTCAGTCTTGCTCTGATCTAAGTAATTAGTTTCAGTTGATAGCTAGTCAAAGTGCTTCCTGAATTATGCGCTACTGCCTTAAACTTGAGGTGTAAAATGCATCCATCAAAATTAAAAATTGTAGTTACTTGGTCATGATCACACGACACTTATAAAACAAATTCTATTGTAGTGGATCACAAGGTTAAGCAACGACTTTTTTCTACTACAGTAGCAGCAGCGTTACATTGAAGAAAGGCTGCTTTGTAGCACACCAGCTGGACGTGTAATGCACAATTACTGCTTTTGCTTTAGAATCTTCCAATAAATTGAACTAAAGAATGAAAAATTCTTGACTTAAGCTGAGACGAAATTTTTCCTTACGTACACTTCATGGCAATTTTTCAATACATGGGTAGAAAACTTGATACCGTTTCTCTTCTAGTCTCCTCTACGTCTCTGCCTCCAGCTGCTTAAGACGAGCAAGCGATTCGATTATGGCTTCTGTGCAATGCTGGATCAGCTTGCAGGTAACTAACTCACTCCGATTGCTCACTTCTCGAGTATTTTACTCTTCTGTGTTATTGTCAAACAATAACATTTTAACTCTCACTTTTCATTTCAACACAAAGGTGCATGATGAAAGTCTTGCAAGTCTCAACAACCATTTCGATGCTATCGATAGCAACCGCTACATCCATTGACCCCACACTTTCCTCCACTTTCGACAAAAGCAATCTTACATTGCCAATTGTTAAAGATGCCAAGTGGTATTGGCAGAACGATCACATATTCAATTCGGAGAATGTCAAGTTTTTCGAAAACTTTCATCCGAATGACGAAAATCAAACCTGCTCTGGTGATCGACATGCTACACCATTCAATAAGCAGGTACGCGGTGCCAACCTTGGAGGGTGGCTCGTACTCGAGCCTTGGATTACTCCAACACTTTTCTATCAATTTCTGAGCACACAAGAGCGTTTTGGCGATAAAGCACCTGAAAAAACGGGCATGGACATGTACACATTTTGTACAGCCTTAAGTAAAGAGGAAGCAAATCGTCAACTTCGTCTCCATTATGCTTCGTGGGTAACTGAAGCTGATTTGAAAGAAATGGCTCAAGCTGGTGTCAACTCGCTTCGTGTGCCAGTGGGTGATTGGATGTTCATTCCATATGAACCATATATTGGATGCACGGACGGTGCTATTGAAGAGCTTGATCGTGTCGCTGACCTTGCTGTGAAGTATAACATCGACTTATTGCTCGATATTCATGGTTTAATTGGATCTCAAAATGGCTTTGACAACAGTGGAATGTCTTCATCTGTCAAATGGACTTCGCGAGCAAGTACTCGACCAGTTGGAACTACGACATTTGAACATTGGCCTGTTCGATCAGCGGGATGGGCAGGAGAGTTTAATGCGACCACAAACACATACGATTCTATCAACTACAATCATCTGAATCACTCGCTCACTACAGTCGCGTTAATTGTTGATCGATATGCTGACCATCCTGCAATTATTGGACTTGAGCCTGTTAATGAACCATGGGAACTCACACCTATTGATCTTTTAAAAGACTATTACTGGAAATCCTACAAACGCGTCAAGGCCCGTGCACCACATTGGAAGTTTGTGCTTCACGACTCGTTCCGTTTTGGGGTTCAGTATTGGTCGCAATTCATGCGTGGGTGTCCTGACATTGCTTTGGACACACACATTTATCAAGCATGGCATTCACCTGGTACAAGTGAAGACTATTTCTCAAATGCTTGTCAACAAAAGTACACACTTGCCGAAATGGAGAATGCTCTCATGCCAGTGATTGTTGGTGAGTGGTCGCTAGGAACTGACAATTGTGCCATGTGGCTCAATGGCTTTAACGACAACTTACCTGGATTTCCAAACATTCAGTGTCGCTCTACCAAGTGTCCTGTGTACAGTACGTACCTCGGATTGGAATTCCCAGGCACTCCACTTGATACCACTCGTCCAATTCAAGGTCCATATGGTACGGGACAATCCGGTCCGGCTTTCGGAGACTGTCCAGTTACAAGTAACGTCTCATTCGGTCAAAACAATGACAACGATGATTTTCAATTCACACGGAACTTGAACATGAAGAAACTCAATGCATTTGCAGTCGGACACGGCTGGTACTTTTGGAATTTTAAGACCGAACTTGGATCGCGTTGGAACTTTTTAGAATTAGTTCGACAGGGAGTATTTCCAAAAAATGTGTCGAATTACCATGCAGACGATGGTGTATTTTCAGCATGTTTAGAAGAAGACGAAGGTGCTTTCATCTGTGCAGCTAAGCGCGGTGTTCGTCATTTTGAACTCGTGAGTGGATTGGAATTTGCTTGTGGAGGCAACGACGGCAAAGTGGACTGCAAAGATCTTGATACGCGCTTTAACACACTTGAAGAACGATGTGATTGGGTCTTTAACGAATATTGGCACGCTCATCGTGAAGATGGTGCAACATGCGACTTTGGTGGTGCAGCTCATCTACTAGCTATTCCAAGTCCATTGAACGTTGCAAGTGAGAGATTATTGATTACCTTTACAGGTGAAGAAGTCCTTATTTGGACATTTTTGACGGTTCTGGTGGCTATTGGTGGACTGGTTCTTGTCTTGGTCATTAAACGACACAGAAGGCGGCAAGAATACTCGCCTTTGATCACACACATTGCGACAGTTTAAAACTGGAGACAAGTTATCAAGACATGCCTTTATCTCTCCATATCAATACATTAAATAGCTGTGTTAACAAAATATATAAGCAAATATAAATGTTCCTACATCAACTTTTTCAATGTTCGCACCTTTCGTGACACTTTTAACGATGAAAACCTTGAACATGAAAGCTGCTTATTACTTATCGCTATGATTCAAATGTCAAATTTTATAATCCATTGTATACGAAAGACATAAGAAAACAAAATGTTGATGATCGATTATCTAAGACATTATCAACTAAATAAAAATCACGACAAGCAGTGCCGCTGCTAGTACAAAGATGATCACATAGTAGCAAAAGAGTTTGCGATGTGCACTGACAACTTTACGTGCTGCTATTGTTTGTTCCTGTACAGCCTCTTCCGTGTCACTAATCTGCACACTCACATGTTCAAGCATAGCATTTTGCGAAATCACTTCTTCATTCGTGGCGTTAGCTGCCATACGAAGTCTTTGCACACCTGAATAAACAGCATCAAGTTGCCGCTCCTACTTTCAACAAGAATTAGTGAAATTAACGTCATTCGTAAAAAGTTCAACATACCTGGTTGTCAGTAGCCTTGTCCATTTGTTCTTGAAGCTTTGGTGTTGACACTTCATTATAATCACTTGTATGTTCCGTTTCTCTAAGCGATCCATTCTCCATGGTCCGTCGACAATCGATCAATTCTTTGTTTGTGTCCTACGTCCCAAGGACGGAAATATCCGGATAAAAATAAAGTGAATGGTAGGTGTATAAAATGTCACTTTACGTGGAATTAGTATTCATATATTTCTTTAATGGAGCAACAGGAAGCGGCGTGACCATCAAGTCGTTGCTGTCAAGATACAGCGGCATCTTTTCCTGGTGCAATAGATTTCGCGGTCGACGAAGAAGAACCAGAGCTGTTATCTTCCCTTTAAAGAACTTAATAGTGCGTAAGGACTGGCGACTTATACTATCCCATATATGGATCACTCCAGCCTCATCCCCTGAGATTAAGAACGCACCACTAGAATGGACTTGCAACATAGTGACACTAGTCTCATGACCTTGGAAAGTATCTGGTAACAAAGCTTCTGAACCCCATGGTGATCCATTTGTAGACGACAAATTTCTTGACGCATTTGCAACACGTGCTGTTGCAGCTGTGGCAATCGTAGCAGCAGCATTTAAATCCAGTGTATAGATTTCACCATTTCCACAGCCCATGAAAAGTCGTTGCTCCATAGGGTCAGCTATGCAAGTATTTACATATGACGGACACGAGACGCTAAAGAGGCATTGAGATGAATGTAGTGACCATATCTTGCACGTACGATCTAGAGATGATGTATAGATACGAGCGTTGACATCACCAAGACCGACATGTAGTGACGTAATGGGTAGCACATGGTCCGTAAAGCTCACAATGGGTGTTACTCCTTGTTGAAAACTTGAGACTATGTCTGGTTCATCCAGTAGATCCACAAGTCGCCATACATGCACCAGAGCATCTTCTCCTGCAGTAATCAGGTGGGAATCATCCGACGTCAAAGCTAAAGCTGACACACGCTTGTAGTGTGCGTCAAAAACTGTCACTAACTCTCCAGTCTTGATATCCCAAACGTAAACTTTTCCTGACGTTGCACCAGCAAAGAGAATGTTGCCACAAGTTGAAGATGTTATCGGTCCCATCTTTTCAGCCACATGGCACTTGAATACAGGCATATCCTTGCCCCAGTTCCAGAGGTGAAGTGCTAATTTACCCTCCTGCACACCCACTAAATGGTTTGTACGCGGCACTACATGCACACCATTCATCGCCGAGCGACAATTTTTAAAACAGAACAATCGACTACCGTTTGATGCATCTACAACCAGTAGCTCATTTGTCTCGCTTGAACCAAGTAGCAGCACATTGTCAGACAGTGGATTCGTCGTCATGTTTCTTTACGTATTAAATTTGACTAACAAAGTGCTTATAACCAATAATTAATGTCGCTTTGATTGGCTCAAAACTTTCTAATTATCACAACATGGTGCAAGGTAGTAGCGATAAGAGGAAGAAGCAATGGATGAGTGGACGTGACGGAAGTCAGAAACGCCACAAGGGATCGCTAGCTTCTGCATCGAATGCCAAAGGTCATGGTGCTGTATTAGTGACGTGTGATAAGATCAAGGAGCGCCAAAGTGTTGGAGACGCGCTCAATATTTTAAACGAAGCGGCTGATCGCTTTTTCCCAGCAAAAGAAGAAGCTGAAGAGAAGACATTGGTCGATACCAAAGATGATTCTATACAAAAGAAGCTACAAGAAGAGATTAAAGACTTGCAAACGCAAGCCCAGAAGCGCCAAACTGGTCGATTTACGGCTCTCGATACTGGCGTCAAGGGTGTCATATTGATTCAATTCAAGGACGACAGTGTGTCCCCTACAGTATTGATGAGAAAGATATTTGAAGATGCGGAGATGACGAAAGAATTTGCATCTCGATATATCCAAAAGATGATTCCATTGGAAAAGGTTGGTTACTCCAGTGTCGAGAGCATTAAGGAGCTTGCTGCGCCAATGATTGAAGCACATTTGGAAGCTTATCGAAAAGAGCAAGAAACGTCTGGTAAGAGCGAGGATTTGGAGTTTGCAGTCGAGATCAAGCGTCGCAATTGCACAAATCTCAACAGTATGGACGTCATCAATGCGCTCGTGGAGTTGGTGGGAGATAATAAAACCAAAGTCAATCTGACAACGCCCCACACTGTGCTCGTCGTCGAGGTCTTTCGAACGACATGCGGCTTTAGTGTATTGACGAACTTTCACAGATTCAAAAAGTACAATGTGCGTTCAGTCATTGAGTCTAGAACAAATGGTTCGAACACGACTAAACGGCGTGATGATATTGAAGAGAAAAGTGCCAAAGCTGACGACTCAACAGGAAAGCAGAGCAACAACAATAGCGACAATGACAAATAAACAGAATAGATCAATCGATAAACCATGATGATTTTAATCAAACATTGCATTGAATAAAATAAATTTGGATGAAGAATCATAAAATCGTGTCGTCAAGAGGCAGAAAGCTGCTTCAGAAAATGTAGATAAGATAGAAAAATCATCATTTTCGACATCCAAAATCCATACAACCTAATGAGTGCTTATCACGAATGAAGAGTGCACTGAGCGAGTCATGAGAACGGATCCGAAACTTCTAATTTACTCGTTCACATGGATATTCAGAGAATGTAGATAAATGATTCATTCGTCATTTCCATCCTCTTGATACACTCGAGTCCCTTCAAAAAGTTTGCATTTGGAGAACACTCAAGTCACGACCACTGCAATCAATTGCCTGTTATTCCAAACAGTCGCGAAGTGACCTCGGCCAAGAAGTATGTGGATCAATGCGAAAGATACAGAAAGATATAAGAAACTCTCGTTGCTTTTATTTGCAGTTTCAGATCCCAAGTAAGACACAACGCTTTAAGACGCAAAATTCCAGACATCTGTTCTTTTGTGTCGTTTGCACGCACCTCAATCGATATCGCAGTACAGCTACCATAGCAGTATTAAAAAGTCAAACCTCTCCTTCTTTACAGTCACGAAAAGAGCTTGCACAGAATGTTACAGTAGATCTTCATTAACGTCTTTTAATGACACCAAGTTTATTCCTCCTGAAACAATAACATAACAGAGCAGAATGTGAGCAAGATGATCATTAGATACTATCAGATAATGAATACAAACCTTGTTTTTATTCTTGCGATTGCGGTGCTTCTTGTCAAACTTCTTGGCCCAGTGCTGGTTACGCAAAAACTTTGGGTCGAGCTGTGGAAAAGTTAAAAGATGAGATTCATTTTTCGTGTATTTGATAAGAGAAACATACTCCACGTGTAGAGTGAAAACGGTGGTTCTTCGGCTTCTTGATACCATTACGATGAGCCTTCACCGTGTTGTTACGGGCCGTGTGGTTTTTCTGCTTGACCATATTGACGTTGGATTAACTTGGGTTTCTCTACTGTCGTGTCACTAATGAAGTTAAGAAGCTCACAAATGCTATCCACCAATCGATCGGTCAGTTGTGTGCCACATTGAACGACGTGGTTCACATATATCTCCAGTACCTGTATAAAAATAGAAATCTCATTTTATCAATTCTAACAAGCGTTTGGTGTGGTTTACATATTCCTTACTGTATGAGTTTCAGAAGGGAGACAGCTCAAATTCCTGCGGCAATTGAACAGCCGCGTTAGCAAGTAATTAAAGAAGCATGTCGGACCCATTTGGAGACAGCAATCCTATGGAGGGTGACGTTACACAAGATCTGTCAGATTTTGTGCCGCCTGCTGATAACAGCGGAGAGTGCGTGACAACCATGAGCTGATAAACTTTTGGGTTGCTCATATTCGTTTTTACACATACAGCTTTTTTGAAGTTGAGCCGCATCAAGAGGCGACTGGTGGGGCTTATGAAGATCAGATGCACGAAAGTTACAATGATTACGCCGGGGAGAGCTACCAGCCCATGGACTTTGCCCCCACTTCTGTCGAGCCGCCTGCTGTCGAAAATTCTGTACAGGATTCGGCATTTTCTTCACATACGCCTGCTCAGATCCCTGTCGTTGAGGAAGATAACGAACTTACGTAAGCTTGTTCTATCTTCACTATCACTGATAGGGCTTTAAATCCGTGTATTGTTATTTACAGGAAGTTTATGAAAGAATACGAAGTTAAGATCTCGATGAAGGCACAGGAGCAGGAAAAGGTAGCAACTGAGTGTAAGGCGAAAGCTGAAGAAGATATGGCTCATTTTTTGTCCGAACGTCAACGCATCAAAGAGTCTAAAATGCAGGCAAACCGAGTCTTTGAACAAGCAACACTGGAAAAGATGGTAGCTGATCTACAGAACGAGAATCCGTGGGAGCGAGTGGTAACGCTCGTGGATCTTGAGACGCGTAAGAAGAAATTGGATTCGCTCAATAACAACAAGAAGGACAGTAAGAAGCAGGATCCTAAGCCTGTAGCTGTGCCAGCAAAGAAAACTCCTGAGGATGAGGAGGACGTTTCGAGAATGCGACAGCTCTTTGTGCAGCTCAAGGCGTCGCCACTCGAGCAAACGCGCGCTGATGCTGTGTCTGCTAATTAAGCTGGTTAATTTACCAGACAAAGACTTTAATCGGAAAGCTTTACTAAATAAAGTGGTTCTAAGAATTCACAGTATGCTTAGACTAAAAAATTATCTTGATTCATGTGTCTATTTGATGCACAAAATATTATATATAAAGTAGACACCTTATTAAATTACATTAGCAATATAATGTTAGCTCAACGTTAGTTGCACGTTGGTCATGGAGGAAGAAGACTCAACATGAAAGCAAGCAAGCACAGTATTTTTTTAGCACCTTCGAAAGGTCAGCTCAGATGAAAAACCAAGTGTTCTTCTGTGAGGTGCGAATGAATCTATGTCGTACGCGCAAGAAAGAGAAATGAACGAATGTAGTGGCGACCGCCAGTCAATGCGGAATTATCTTGCAAAAGGAATGGCCAGCATGACTATATGTATTTGTGTGGTCCACATTAAGTACGAAAGCAAAAACGTCGTCATTTGTCTAAAGCAGTTCTGATGCTTTTTAGTCTCACGCCAAGAAACTTGACTTTTTTGCCTCCTGTACTAACGGTCTTTTAATTTGGTGAAGCTGTATTGACACCGCACGACTGCCACCAATACTGACAACAGACCCTTCGTGCGTAACGGAAATATTACTGAGTACAATCTCATGCAACGAAAACGTCACTCCAATCTGAGTATGTCAGTATTGGAATCTTTAATCATCATGCGCAAGTTGGTGGCAAGCACTTGATCACAAATTTTTCACTTTTCAAATTGCAAGCTCCATTGAAATCGAAGTCTTAACAAGAATGCAGCCTTCTTCCGCGATTTCACTAGTGACAGCAGCTTTGGCATTGTCGTCGTCGCTCTTATCAGCTCAGCAGCCTGGGACATATACCCCGGAAGCCCATCCTTCGTTACTTTCGAAACAATGTTCCAAGTACGGCGGTTGTGTGACTGAGTCGACTTCCATCGTATTGGATGCCAACTGGCGCTGGTTACATCAAGTTGGAGACTACAAGAATTGCTACACTGGTAATCAATGGGACACTTCACTGTGTTCCACACCCGAGTTGTGTGCTAAGAATTGCGCACTCGAAGGTGCTGATTATCCAGGTACCTATGGTATTACCACGTCTGCTGATGAGCTGCAACTCAAGCTAATTACACAAACTCAATACGGCAAGAACGTTGGCTCTCGTGTGTACTTACTTGATGCTGGAGGCTCAAACTACAAGCAGTTTAAGTTACTGAATCAAGAATTTACTCTTGATGTCGATGTCTCCAAACTTCCCTGTGGTCTCAACGGAGCACTTTACTTTGTCCAAATGGATGCTGACGGAGGTAGCGGACGCTTTCCGACAAACAAAGCTGGAGCGAAATACGGAACGGGATATTGTGATGCACAGTGTCCACATGACATTAAGTTTATCAATGGTGAGGCGAACACGCTTGATTGGGGTGCAACAAGTCAGAACTCGGGTGGTGGCAAGTATGGTGCTTGTTGCGCAGAGCTCGATATCTGGGAGGCGAATAGCATGAGCAATGCCTTTACGACCCACCCATGCACTTCGGAGGGACAAACACGTTGTTCAAGTCCAGAAGAGTGTGGCAATGGCAATGGTAATCGCTACAAGGGCGTATGTGATAAGGATGGATGTGATTTCAACCCTTTTCGAATGGGCAACGAAACCTTTTACGGGCGTGGCTCACAGTTCACAATCGACACGACTCGCAAATTTACAATCGTGACGCAATTTATTACAAGTGACAACACTGCCACGGGTGATCTTGTTGAGATTCGACGCTTGTTCAAACAAGATGATCGTATTGTATCAATGCCTTATAGTACGTGGTCTGGGTTGAAGAAAGCAGATTCAATCACTGATTCCATGTGTGACATTTCAAAACGAATCTTTGGTGATGAAAATGATCATTTGGCGAAAGGTGGTCTTGTACGTATGGGCAAGCAAATGGCAAAGGGTTTGACACTTGCTATGAGTCTTTGGTCAGACCATTCCGCCTACTGTCTCTGGCTCGACAGCAGCTATCCTCCTGGCGCTGATTCTTCGAAACCAGGAGTGAAGCGTGGCTTGTGCCCGACGTCAGGTGGACGCCCAGCTGAAGTGGAGGCTCAACATCCGGATGCAGATGTGAAGTTTATGAATATTCGTGTGGGTGATATCGGAACCACGTTGTTGACGAGCGATAAAATGAAGCCAGGAATTTAAGAAAAATACATTTGGAATCCAGACATTTGATCAGAACTTTATGTTTTGTTTGAGTGATCTATGACCTTTTGACATGTTAGTTTAACTACGATCGATAATAAACTGACATCGATGTTTTTTAAACAGTAAATGAAATTTACCAAAAAGCTATCAGCTTGAGCTTCGTTGAAGTCTTTTCGATTGTAAAATTGTCGATCTTGTCTTCTTAAACGCGATCAACAATAGGCGAATACTGACGGCGCGTACGATTTTGGCGCCAGCGCACGATGGCAAAGATTGAAGAACCTACTGCCACGAGAGCTAGGGCAGCGAAGCCCAAAATAGACATAATGCTCCACTTGGCAACCGATGCAAGGAAGTGACTAGGCTTCGATTGCTTGGTCTTGGACTCAGCTGGGGCAGCTCCGGGTACAGTAAGTAAGTGACCAGCGCCACCAAAATCGCAGGTGGCACCGTCCTTGCGTTTAAGATGCCAGTACTCGTTAAAGGCCCAATCGCACTGCTCCACGAGGGTCGGGAATCTTTTATCAATGTCTGAGCAGTCGATGGCTGGGAAGTTGCATGCAAATGCAAGCCCGCTCTTGAGCTCAAACTTCTGTACCCCGCGCTTGGCACGGCAGACAAAATCACCTTGGTCTTCCTTCAAACAGGCTTTATCGACACCATCGCTTTCATGGTAGTTTGAAACGTTCTTTGGAAATGCACCCAAACGCACTAGGTCCAAAAAGCTCCACTTTGTTGCAAATTCTGTTTTGAAGTTCCAGAAGTACCAACCGTGACCATTTTCGAAACCATTCAGTTTTTTCAGTGTGAGTGCTTTTGTCAGTGCGACGTCATCTTCTTGGTCAAAAGAGCTCTGACTAGTGACGGGGCACTTGCCAAACGACGGGCCCGACATACCAGTGCCATAGGGACCCTGAATCGGTTTGGTCTTGTCTAAAGGAGTTCCTGGAAAGCCCTCGCCGAGGTATGTGCTATTAATTGGACAATCGACCATGTGGCACTCCACCTTCGGAAATCCCGGCAGGTTGTCGTTGAAGCCGTTGAGCCACATAGCACAGTTGTCCGTACCAATTGACCATTCTCCAACGATAACAGGCATCAAAGCATTCTCCATGTCGCTGATGACGTACTTCTGTTGACAGGCATTGGAAAAAAAATCAGCAACTGTCCCAGGGGGGTTCCACGCCTGATAAATGTGCGTATCCAAGGCGATATCTGGGCAGCCCTTTAGAAAGTCAGCCCAGAACGAGAGGCCGAAACGAAACGAGTCGTGGATGACGAACTTCCACATGGGAGCAAGAGCTTTCACTCGCTTGTATGACTTCCAGTAATACTGCTTTAGAACTTTGATAGGCGTGAGCTCCCATGGCTCATTGACTGGTTCGAGACCCATGATTGCCTTGTGACCCTTGTAACGATTGATGATGGCCTCCACTGCCACAATTGAGTGGTTAAGGTTCGCGTAATTAATACTCGAGTAGTTGTGGTGCTCGACATCATATGTGCCAGCCCATTCAGCCTGACGAATTGGCCAGTGCTCAAACGTGGTAGTGCCCACAGGCTGTGTACTCGCGATAGACGTCCATTTGACAGCCGAGGACTTGCCACTATTATCAAAGCCGTTTTGCGAGCCAATTAAACCGTGAACATCCAGCAGGATTTCAAGGTTATATTTCAGCGCTAGCTCGGCCACACGGTCCAGCGCTTCCACGGCGCCATCTGTGCACCCAGCATAAGGTTCGTACGGATTAAACATCCAGTCACCGACTGGAATACGCATTGAGTTGATGCCTGACGCAGCGAGCTCTTTGATGTCTTTTTCTGTGACCCAATTATCGTAGTGGATACGTAGCTGGCGGTTAGCTTCCTCCTTGTCCAGAGCCGTACAAAAAGTGTACATGTCCATAGCAGTTTTCTCGGGGGCCTTGTCGCCAAATCGCTGCTGCGTGTTGAGAAACTGATAAAACAGCGTAGGTGTGATCCAAGGTTCCAGTACAAGCCATCCACCAAGATTTACACCGCGCACTTGTCTATTAAATGGCGTGGCGTGCTTGTCCTGGGAACAAGTTTGGTCAGTGTCGTTGGGCTTAAACGAGGTAAACACGCCACTGTCTTGTCCGAACATGGACTCCTCGCCGTGCTTCCAGTACCATTCATAGTCTGGCTGCTCCGGCGTGTCGTGTGGACCCGATATGGGCGTCGGTAACGGCGTTGGTGTGCCCAACGCCGTTACCGACGCCGG